TGGATGGCGCGGACGCCGCGGCGCCTCCCGGGACGCTGGCGCTCACTGTGCGCTGCGGCGGCGGGTTGCCGGGAAAAATCGCGTGGCGCCCGGGTGCCGCTTCCCAGAAGCGCATCGGCACGCTTGCCATTGTGTATTCGGACGGGTGCGTGCGGCTGGTGGATGTGCCGCGGCCGCCAGCGGCACCTGGCGGCCGCACTGCGGCAGCTTCGAGTTTCGAGGGAGAGGCTGTGGAGCCGTCTCCAGACGCCCCGACGTTGCGCGTCGCGCACACATCCGTCCACTGCATCGCATGGGCGGGCGATGCAAGGATCGCGGCGGGATGCATCGATGGGCGCGTCGCTGTCTGGGACCTCGCCGGGGACGTCCGCGCGGCACCGGCACCCATTGCGTGTGCACCTGTGCACGACTCGCTGGTCAGCTCGGTAAGCTGGCAGATGCTGCCGCCGGTCGACGCGCGCGGCGCGCTGCAGCGGGAGGCGCCCCCGACGGTGCTCATGTCCGTCGGCTGGGACGGCACGGAGAGCGCCGTCGACATACACGACCTGTACGCGCCGCTGCGCCTCGCACACACTCGCGGTGCGCTGCAGGGCACAGCGCCGCTCACACGCAGAGCCGCGCTATGCGACGGTCTGGTCGCCGTACGCGGGCGCGTGGGTGGCAGACTTCGGAGACGCCTCCTTTGGCACCGTGTCCTTGCGCACGCACGACATCGCGCAGCACCACGCGCTGGGGTTCCATGGCGGGCATGTCACGGTACGCCGCGGGGGGGCGCGCGCTCACACACAGAGCATCGCCGCGTCAGCACACCACCCCTTTGCCGCGACGGGGTCCGCGGACGGCTCCGTGAAGCTTACGAATGCGCTCGCGACGGGGAAGCGCAAGGCGGGTGACGATGGCTCCCGGGTACGGCGGCCGGCGACGCGCGGCGCTCATTTCAGGTCATGCACAAGCTCTTCCGTCTGGAGCGCCGCGGCGACGCGTACACGGTCCTGGAGGGGTTCTATCCCGAAGTGCGTCGCGCGGGCATGGCGCTGATCCGCAGGGTGTGTGGCCGAAGGCGGGGGGCGCCAAGCCCGCACCGCCGAGCACGGACCAGTGGGACCCGCTCGTCGCGGTCACCGCCGTCGCATGGAGTCCGAACCTTGGGCGTGCGCTGCTCCTTGCGAGCGGGAACGCCGTCGGCCTCGTGCATATCCACTGGGCGGGCAGCGACTGAGCGGGCCGGCGGCGAGGCGCCACGGGCCGGCAGCGCGTATGGGGCGGCGAGGCCCCCCCTGGGGAGGTGCGCCGCGCGGTGCGCCGATATGCTGGCCGTTCGTACAAGCCCGCCCAGAGACGTATTCGGCACGTGCATCCTCCACGCGCCTCCCCCTTTCCTATTCTACACTAGACGCCGCGCGCTGTGCGCGGAGCACAAATCGCACCGCGGCGGCGGCGGCGCGGAACCGCGAGACGCGTGGGCGCAGCGGACGTGACGCGCCGTGTGCGAAGACGGGACTCAGGCCGTGGAGGTACCCACACAGACGCCCGTACAGCCACTCCTGCGCGGCGAGCGTCCGCGTGAGGTATGCCTTCTGGAACAGGAGCGCGCGCACACGTCCTGCATCTCGTGCACGCTGCGCCTGCAGCAACTGCAGCGCCGGGCGCACGGCGTCGAGAGCGGTCGCGACGAGCGCGTCGAGATCATGCGGTGTGCGCGCGGCGGCCTCGTGTCTGTCACGCCCCGGCCCGGTGGGCTCTGGCGCAGCCCTCTGCTGCTCCGCCACGCCGCGCGTCGCCAGCTCCTGCGCCTCGCGCGCGAGCCACTCGCGCTTCTCATTCCGCAGCGCGTGCAGGTCCGCCCCATACTGCTCCGTCTCCATGCGCACCTGACGCAGGTGCTGCTCGAACATGTGCAGCTGTTCCATGATTTGCACGCGCTCGTCGGAAAGATGGTCCTTCTCCGAGAGCGCGTCGGCGAGCGCCGCACGCATCGCCTCCATCTGCCCGATGTGCCGGTCCATGTCTCCTTCGCACGCGCGCTGCGCGGCGCGTGCGGCGTCTGCGGCCGCGGTTGCCCGCTCGGCGCGCTGCGGTGTGAGTGGGGCCGGAGAGTGGCGGGGGGGGGGGGGGGTAAGAAGAGAAAAGCGTGTGCAAGGGGTACAGGAGAGAGGGGGGGAGGGGCGCCCGCGTAGAGGACGTAGAGGACACATGGCGGCAAAGTCGCCCCTTCGCATACACACCTCCGTTGTAGTCTGCAGATGCGCCTCCAACTGCGCCTGCTGTTGCACGAGCTGCGCGTGTCGAAGATGCGCCGCACTCGCCTGCGCCTGCGCGGCTGACAGCGCCGCGCGCAAACGGGCGAGCTCTCCTTCGCGGTGCGCTTCGCTGGAATGCGACGTATCCAGGTACTGCTCGCGCGCTTGTCGCATGACCTCGGTCTTTTCGACCGCGTCTGTCTCCGCATCACGCAGCCGCGCGTCGGCTGCCGCGAGCTGCTCTTCGACGCGCCGTCTGTTCTGCTGCATGTCCTCGGCGCGCGCGCGCGCCGCATCCATCTCCGTGCGGACGCCGTGGAGCTCCGCGGTGAGCGCGCGTACCGTGTCCTGCAGGCTGTGTAGCTCCGATGCCACGGCATCCGCATCGTCCGAAAGCAGCGACCGAGACGCGATCGACACGTCCACGGGATGCAGCGCGCGGGTGTGGTCGTACCGTGCGCCCTGGGAGGTGCGCCGCCCGTCGCCCACGCCTGTTGGCATGCTCCCGCGCGCGGTGCGGATTTCCTCCCGCTGCGCCTCCACGGTGTGCTCCAGCACGCGCACGCGCTCCTGCAGGAGCGGCACCTCCTCGCTGTCTTCGCGCGCACGGGCGCTGCGCATGCTGCGGGCGCTCTCCGCGGTGCTCGATTCGTCCGTGTCCAGGGGCAGGTTGTGGGATCGGATAATGTGGAGGAGTGCGTCGCACTGCTCCTTGAGCAGCTCGTTCTCGTGCGTGAGCTTTTCATTCAGTTGGTGCTGGTACACTGCAAGCCGGTGCGGGTCGACGCGCGCCCGCGTCTTATCCATGCTCGTGGGGGGCGTGGGAGGGGACTGTTGCGGGCTGCGTCTCTGCGTGGACGATGCGGGATGACTCCCTGTGAGCAGGTCCGATGTCTCGGACACGGACGCGCGATGGCGGCCTGAGTGCCGCGTGTCGTCGGCAGAAGGGGGCGACGGGGGCCGCGCGACGCCCGCAGACGCCGATGCCGAGCGCCGCGCATTGCCAGCAGGCGCGGACGCCGCGGACGGCATGCCCGCTGCCGGTCCGGCGGGGCTCGCGTGCCGCATGTTTGCCGCCGCCGCTGAAGGAGGGGCATCATAGGAAGACCGCAGGACTTGGTCTCGGCCGCGTCCCTCGTCCCGCGACACGGACTTTGCGTTCACCTCTGTAACCCAACGCCAGGACCGCACGCTCCCATCACCACTGGTGGCGCTCTTTTCCCCCACATAGGACTCGGACGTGCGCCTCTCGGGCACGCGCGATACGGCAGGAGGTGTAGGAAGGGGCGAGGAGGCAGCGGAGAATATAGCTCCGCTCGGGGGGGGCGAGGATGGCGGCGTGGTCGCGTCCGACGGTGGCGGCACCGTCGGTGTGGTGGACAGAGATGGCGCCACCTTGGGAGATGCACCGTGGCGCGGAGGAGTGCGTGAGTGTCGCGGATCGCGCGGGGAACGCGTCGCAGAGTTCTCCGCACCGAAAGTAGCGTGGGTCGGAGCGTGTGTCTCCGCAGCATGGGCCGTCGGGAGGGGCGGATCGGTATGCACGGAAACCGAGGCTGCGCGCGACACACGCGCGACAGATGGAGACGAGTCCGGCTGTCGGTAAGCGGACCGATGCACTGCTCCACACACCGAACCAGGGATCGACTCGTCGCTGGAGCGCACATGCTCTTCCGAGACGTCCCCCTGCCGCGGCGCGGGAAGGCGCGCAGTCGGACTCGTCGCGCGCGAAAGGCTGGGAGAAATATCCGGCGTCTGCGCGTCCTGCAGCGAATACACAAGCGACGCAGAGTCGTCCTGCAGCCGGGCATCCAACGCATGCACGTCCACGGCCAGCGGGTCGCCGGCCGGCGCGCCGGCCGGCGCCTGCGTGGCCGCGGGAGAGGACCTCTCTCGCGGCGGCGGCGGCGACACGTCCAGCACACCCTCCAGGGCAGAGACGCTCCAGCTGTCCTGGAGGCTTGCGCTCAGAAGCGCTGTGTTGCTCGCCCCAGACGGATCGCGGCGCGCGACCCCGGGGAGCGAAAGATCCTCCGAGTCATCAAAGAGGTCCTGGTCAATCCGATGTTCTAGTCGTGACGGGGCCTCGACGAACTCCATGGTATCGCCTGCACACTGGGCCACCCGTCGCCATAGATATTTAGACGGACACCTGCCGCACGGGGGTCGCGCGCGGCGCGTCGTGATCACGTGACGAAACAGATTTTGGCTGGGGCCCGCACGGGTGGGTCCTCGTTGACGCATGCCCGAGGTCCAATGGAAACACGCGTCCGTCGTGGAGCCGGCGTCCGTGGCGCTCGAGCGTGGCGGGGCTGCGGGAACGGTGCGCAGCGAGGGGGCCGCATGCTGCCCTCATGACCCTGCGAGCGCGGCGGGCGGCCCAGCGGCGCAGCCTCCAGCGATGGGCCGAGAGGCGCAAGAAGACGCCGCCGAATGGAACAGCTTGCTGATATGGGCGCGCCAGCAACGCGGTGCGCAGTGGGACACGGGTACAGGCATGTATGTGGCGCGGGGGGCATTGGTATCCATGCTTACCGCGCAAGGTGGCAAGTTCCGAAGCATGGCGAGCAGTATTACAGGTGCGCGCGCACTGCGCGCCTTTGTGCTGACAACCCCGCAGTTTTTCTACGAAGGAATACGGCGGCACAGACATATAGCGCGGGAGAGACAGGGGACATGGCCCGTCGCGCGGCCGTCAGACTGAGTGGAGCGGCCCTGGGGCCACGGCAGATGTAGACGCGCATGTGCCAAAAAATGCGATGCCCGCACCCCGAGTCGAACGAGGGATCTCTCCATGTGCTGCGGCAGTACAAGTGGAGTGCGTTAACCACTGCGCCATACGGGCAGAAACTCCCAATTGGGGTCCTCTCTGCGCATTATTTCCCTGCGTACATGACCACGTGATGCCCCGCGCTGCGACGCGTGGGTCTCTCGACCGCGTGCCGCCATGGAGCCGTTGGCGTTTGAGGAGATCCGCACGCAGCTGCATGCGCGTGGTTACCATAAGTCACCCTTATCGATTGATGGGCTTGGCGACCGCGACAGGAAAGCGCTCGTGCACGTGCTGGGCGCGTTGCTGATGGAGCGTGACGAGGAGACGCAGATCCGCGACGGTCTGTTGGCCAAGAACCGAGAGCTGGAGCGCCAGCTAGAGCGGACACGGAGGGACGAGAAGCGCGTCGAAGGCAAGACAGCCACGCGCGAGTTCAAGGCGCGCAGTAGGGAGGTGCAGCTGGAGTGCGTCGGAGCGCTGCGCGAGCTCACAGTTCCAGGCATACGTCGGCTGCACTGGCGGAAGAGCAGGCTGCGCACCGCAGCACGCGTGCACTCCTGGCCCGCACACAGAAGCAGCTGCAGCAGGTGAAGGCGATGGCGCTGCAGCACAAGTCGTCGACCGAGCGGCAAACAAAGCGGCTGCGGGAGCGCGTAGCGTCGATTGCGATGGCGAATGCGAAAGCGCTGGTTCCAGATATCCGCATCGCCTCGGCTGCGTTCCCTCCGCAGGGAAGCGCCGCGAAAGCACCCAGTGTTGCGGATCAGCAGCTCGCTGTCGTGGAGAGGCGATGCGTGGCGCTTACCGAAACGGTGCATGCGCTGAAACTGCTCGCTGTGGACGCCTTCGACACGCTGCACGAGGCTGACGTGCGTCTAGACAAGATTCTCCACGCGGAGGCGCAGCAGGCCGGCGCGTCCGCCGCGCCGCGCCGTTCCCTCCGCCGTTCACGCGCACTAGACGACGGGGACGAGCGCGATCCTGCATCCCTCTTCCCGCCCCTGCGCCCGCTCGTGACAGACGACACGGAGGAGACGCACCCGGCACGCAAGCGCCTGCTGCAGCTCACCCGTGCGCTGCAGGAGCACGTCGCACGCCTCGCGCAGGTGTTCGCCGCGAACCATGCGGTACAGACGCGGTGCCCGGCGGGCATTCTGGACGCGGTTGGGAGTGGGGAAGGGAGTGGGGGGGGCGAGCGGAGTGCGTCGTGCGCGACGGTAAAGGACGAGGATGCGGTCGGCGGGGGGGGGGCCGATGTGGGGGGGCCCGGCGTGGGGGCGTACACGGGGGGGGGGCACGACAGGAGGGAGTCTGACGTGGGAGCGTCTGACGTGGGGGGGTCCCACATGCGCGGGTCCGAACAGACCTCGACATTCACAAACGCAGAGGAGCACGGATGGCAGGGGCAGGACCCCGAGATGGATGCGCTGGAGCTCGCGCGGCGTACAAGAAATGCGCTGGGGTCCGCGCGGCGTACGTGGGACGCAATGGCTGCTCCGGACGCGCGGGCGGGGAAACGGGTGCGCGCGGACGGGGACGGCCCCGACACAGCAGCTATGTAGCTACCGACCTGTGCCCTCGGGTCACGCCTCCGCGGGGTCGTTCAGCGACGAGAGCACGGCCTTGTATGTCTTCTTGCTGTGCCGGCGCACTCGGTGGTGGCGGTCCCGGAGAGAGCGCTGGAGGAACTTGATCAGCTGCAGGGCGGGGGCCATGAAGTACGACTCAAATACCAGGCAGCTTGCCGTGTTCAAAAGAACAACGGCGAACAGCTTCCAGTGAAAAGACGTGGGGAAGGTGACAAGACCGAGCAGGTTGAAGAAGAATCCGTCGCGGACGAAGAGGAAATACGTGGACAGGCACGTGAGGATGGTGAGCAGGACGAGGAGCATGGCTGGCGGGTGAGCGCGCACGTTCGTCTGTGCACACGCACTGTTTGTGAAGATCGGCATTCGGTACGGCGGGCCGACGCTGAACACGGCCGCCACAATGATATACTGGAACGACGAGCTGCGGTGAGTGCGTGCTGCAACGCGGACGCACACAAGGAAGAGCGCCGAGTTCTCCGCATTGACGACATTCAGCTCGTTCGGGTTCACAATCGGCGGCTCGTACCTGCTGTGAGCGGCGGCGGGCTGTGTGCGCACCAGGACTGGCGGCGCGTGAGCCAGTAGGTGAACGACTGTGCCGCGGCGCAGAGGGCGACCTGGGTGAACATGGAGAGGAGCACCTTTTTCGAGACGAGGTTGGCCGTCGGCCGCTTCGTGTGCAGCGCGGGGTACGGCCGCGTGCGCGCCATGGCAACCGCGAGGGGGAGGATGATGAAGAGGTCAATGTACAGGAACTGGAAGTCGCCGAGGCTGCTCGCAATGTCGTAGAGGAGAGAGATGCTGGTGAACTGGATGAGGCTGTACAGCGCCATGTACTTGAAACAGCTGAAGCTCGTGACGAGCGCGGCGCGGCCCTCCTTGATCACCTCGATCACGCACGAGATGTCCGGGCGCGTGGACGTGAACGGGGCGGCGACGGATGCCTCGGCCTCGGAGAGCGAGATGCCGATGTCCGCCGCCTTGAGCGCGCCGCAGTCGTTCGCGCCGTCGCCACACATCGCGACAATATACCCGAGCTCCTGCAGGCGGTCGACCAGGTCGTGCTTCTCGTCCGGGGACATGCGCGCGAAGATCGTGCCCTTGATCAGCATGCGGCGCACGAGCTCGATCGGCGCGTAGTCCGTCATCCACCGGAACACGTCCCCGGTGAGCACGAGCTCGTAGTTCTGCACCCGCTGGTCGTCCAGGTCCATCGCGAGCGGGTCAAGTTCGAGCGGCTTCAGGGTGTCCGGGTTCAGGAGCACCTGGCTGTCGTCCGTGCTCGTCCAGCGGAGCGCGACGTCGCCGGGGTGCGCGGGCGAGCCGCGCACAAAGTCCGCGAGGAACACGGTCGTCGACTGTCCGAGGATGCCGCATTCGCGCGCGACGCTGATCGCCGTGCGCGGGTTGTCCCCGGTCGCCATCTTGCACGCAATGTGTGCGTCGCGCAGCGTGCCGATCGCGGGCGCGGTGCCCGGCTTGAGTTTGTTCTCGAAGATGATGAGCCCGAGGAACTGCAGGCCGTGCTCGGCCTGCTCGCGCGGGATGCGCTGCGCCTCGACCCAGGACATGCCTGGAATCGACTTGCCGGCGCACGCAATGACGCGGTAGCCGTGGTGCGTGTAGTATTCGAGCAGGTCGCTGTAGTCGTTCGGGAGCGTCTCTGGCGCGCAGATGTCCATGAGCGCCTCCGGCGCGCCCTTGACGAACACCTCCATCGACGGCGCATGCAGCTGCTTCACGATGACGCTCATGCGCCGCAGCGCGGAGACAAAGTCAAACGTGCGGATCACGCCAAGCTCGAGCCCCGCGTCCGCGGCGTGGTCGCGGCCTGCGAGCGCGTGGAAGTCGCCCGCGTCGCGCGGGCGCACGACCGTCTGCACGAGCGCGGGTGGGCGGTCCGGCACGCCGGCCGCATCGGCGGCGGGCGGCGCGCTGCTGCCCTCGTCGATCTGCCACCCAGTGAACTCGAACATCTTCACGTCGAGCGGGTCGCCGATGACGCGGTCGTCGACGAGCTTCAGCCCGTGGCACGTCGCGAGCGCATGCAGCAGGACGAGCGGGTGGCGCTCGCCGGACACGTCGAAGGCGTCGGTGGGAATGTCCGCGGTCGCCTGGTGCAGCTCGCTGAACTGCATCGCGCCCGGGACGACGGTGCGCGCGCCGAGCACGTCGAGGCCGTCCTCAGTGAGGGTACCGGTCTTGTCGAACGCGACGACATTCACCTTGCCTGCGATGTTCACGCGCGTCGGCGAGATACAGAATATACCCCGGTGCCGCAGCCGCGCAATCGCGAATGCGGTGCCGATGCTCATCGTCGCGGGGAGCGCGGGCGGGACGACGACCGTGACGAGGTCCAGGACGCGGATCAGAAGCGTGCTCCATGCGATGCCGAGCTTCAAAAAGTTGTACGTGTTGAAACAGAGGCCGACGCCCGCGACACCAGCGAGGAAGCCAATGAAGCGGAACGAGTCGCGGTAGAACTTGAAGCCCATCGGCTTCGGAAAGAGCATGCCACGCACGAGCGCGCCCTTCGTCGTGCTGAAACCCGTGCGCACGACCATCGCCAGTGCGCTGCGCTCGTCGGGCGCGCCGCCATACGTCGGACGGATGCGGATCACCCGGGTGCCCGCAAACAAAAAGTGCTTCGCGAGCGGCGCCGACAGGTCGCCGCGCACGGCCGCGGCGCCGCGGAGCGCCGCTTCGTCGACGGGCGCCTTGCTGATCGGCAAGCTCTCCCCCGTGAGCATGCTCTCGTTGACGATCGCGTCGCCGGTAAGCAGCAGGCTGTCCGCGGGAAGCACAGAGAGCGCCGGGTCCGCGGCATCGTACACGTCGCCGGGCACGAGGTCCGTGCTGTCGACGACGGACCACACGTCGCTGCGCAGCACGCGGACCGCGCACACGAAGCGGTTCATCTCGCGCATGCGCGCGATCGTGCGCTTCGTCTCGACGAGCGTGGAGAGGATGCTCCCGACGCTGATCGCGGCAATGCAGAACGCATAGTAGTAGTAGTCGTCCAGGCTCCACAGTGCGATGGACACGATCTGGAACATGTAGAACGGGTGCAGCACCTCGCCGACGAGGAGCTGCAGGGTGCTGCGCCCCACAATCTCAATCACGTTCGCGCCAAAGATCGCCTGCCGCTCGCGGACGAGGTCCGGCCGCGTGCCCGTGCGCAGCGCGGCGGCCGATGTCCACGCGGCATCGCGCCAGTCCCGCACCGAGCGGAAGCGTCCCGTGGGCGGGTGCAGCGCGTACCGCGCACACCGGTACTCGAACATGACGAGGTCCACGACCTCCCCGTCCGCGTCCGTGCTGGGTGGGGCGTGCTCGTGCGCCTGCGCATGCGTGCACGGCGGATCGCGCGACGACGGCGGGAACACGGCGCGCAGGGGGCGCGCGAAGGGCACATGGATGTACGGCTGCGTCGTCACGTCCCCCCACTGGTTCTCCACGACAACAAACTCCGCGCGCGCGAAG